AAATATAGTGAAAATTATCCGTAGTTATGTTAACAATTTTCATAAAAGCTGGGATACTATGTCAATGAATTAGCTTTCGCCCTTAGGACCGCAAAACATGATACAACGGGCAAAACGCCTGCTGAGTTATTTTTAGGCAGAAAGATTATAACGCCGTTAGATAAATTATTTTATGTTCGACAAAGAGCCCCAGAATTTAAAATGGGTGACATAGAAAAATTAATTAAAGAAGCAAAAAAGAACACTGAAGTAGCACAGAGAAAACAAAAACTTTATTACGATTTGAAACGACGGGGAGTAACTTATAAAGTAGGAGATGAAGTATTAAAAATTAAGCATTCACTTTCTTCAGCACCAGAAGATAAAACCGCCAAATTTTTTCCACGATTTGAAGGACCATATGTCATAGAAAAAATAACTCAGGCTGTAGTGGTGTTAAAAGCCAGGAATGGTGAAACATGCTCCGCAAACATTGACCAGATAAAACCATACTATGACCGTAATAAAATGCAAATATTAGAAATGGAATTAAAGATCTTTTGCAGGATCCGGCACGGCAGGCACTGCAGGCACAAGCTCCAGAGGTGGAACAACACGACAATCACAAGGGCAAGCCATTAAGAGTAGAGAAGTCTAGCAATTGAAAAGAAAGTTTCCCGTTGCAAAACTTGAAGGTAACAAGAAAAAGAAGTCCGTTTCCACCGACCAGAAAAGAGAGCGCACGACCACCACCCCAGACATGAAGAAGGGAAAAGAAGTACGACGAATGCAAAGAGAGCCAGTAAAAATAACAGGCAAACCTATAACCCGGCTCCCAAAACGGAAAGATCTAACCCATCGGACAGGAGGTCTATACGCAGCAAATGTCGACGAATCGATGAAGGAAAACCACCGCCGTGCAGAGGCAAAGAAGAACAAACAGGAAACGTTTGAACAGCCAGCAACGAGATCCAAGGCAGGAACGAGGAGAGAAGTGTCTGTCCCGGTTCCGCCAAGACCAGCTGCCATTTGTCAAACGGCCGGGAGTACCACAGGCAGAGGCTTAAAAACAAGGTTCTTCAAGGCTGACCGAACTGGAAGGAAAGGGAAGCTCATAGAGGGAGGAACTGAAGGGCGAACCCGCACAAGAAGGAAGATAAACCAAACGCTAGTCTTCGCTACCTTCCAGGACTGGGCAGAAAAAAGAATGTCCGAATATCACAAAGATAAGTAAAACTTTATGTTACTTTGCAACCTTTAGTTAATTTTTCATTCTTACTGCAAGGGCCCACCAGCGGCCGAGCGGTAAAGTCGCTGAACACTGGTAGTTCGGTCCGAGGTTCGAATCCCGCGAACGGGCTGGCTGCATGGGTGTTTTCGTGGTTTTCCCCATGTGTAACGTGTATACGAGCCAGTTTCCCTTAGAAAGTCCTCCACGAAAGGCATCCCTCCCCTTAGGCAGATAGCCCTAGTGCGCTTTGCCGTAATTAAATACACACACACAAATACACACATTCTTACTGCAAGTGGCAGAATTCAAGACGTTTTACCTCATGTGAGGTCTACCTTTATCGCCAAAAAGGCGAGAAATGAGTTGTTACCTACTTTGGTATTATGTTTTTCAATTACTCGCGAGTAAAACTAAAATTAATATATAACAGGAATGTGTAAATACTTGAATATTGTAAAAGTTATTGTATAAAATTTTATTTAAAAGATTCTGGCAAGAAAGAAGAAGTTTTAGTCTGAAAGACTTTTGAAATGTAGTATTTCAATGTAGAAGAATTGGCACTTGCTTGGAAAAGAATAGAAGTTAACAATGTACTACTAATGTATGTTTTAAAATGCGTAAAATTAACGGCATGTTAATATGTTCTTATATACAATGTGAACTGTTATTTTAAGCGTTAAGAAATACTGTGATATGTTAAAAGTGAAAGTAATGCCAAAAATTTTTAACTTATTCGTCTGACTGTAAAAAGAGAAAATTATTGTGAATATGTGTTAAAGGTTGAATGAATGTAGTTAGGCTCTCTGACGCTACACTTCAGAGTTAGCCACTTTCAGAATAGTACCTCAGGGTTTAGAGATGAATATAAGGTGTGTTATGAGGTCTTGTTATGTTGAATTTTAACACCTTAGTGTTTTGATTGCAGGCGGTAGTGTTGAACAGTTGTAGATAAACACATTCGTGTTTGGTGTTTTCTTTTACAACACATGTCAGAGAGCACGGGGAGAGAATTAAATAACGTCATGAATGAAATAAGAATGTTAAGAGAAATATAAATATTCACGTTACTTGCCATTTAATTGTGTAACATTTCATTAAACTAGTTTTCCTTCCAGATCTCTGGAAGGAACTAGATTTCAACTAGAAACTCTTGTTTAGATGCAAGTACAGATGAAAAGTAATTGTCCATGAAGTTGATAATGTAAAAAACGATTTTTTTTTAATTTCTAGTTTCTAGTGAGAAATGTTTGTAAAAGATTGGCCTCGCGTTAGATTCTAGAGCTAAAAGTTTTCAACAAGGTCGTTTTAGACCTCAGTTTCAAACTAATTAACTCTGGCGGGAAGTATGTAAGGATCTTAAGTTTTACTAACGTTTATTTTATTTTAAATCTTTACTATCACTTCTTATATTCTACTTCCGGCCAGAATTAAAAGCTTTAACTTATTTATGCAAATTTGTCTTGCGAACGCCAAGTACTTAAGTTGTAGCTTTCTGCCACGCAAGAGAGAGGAAGGAGTGATTAGGAGCAGGCCGCTTGCCATAGCAGTTTTACTCGGTTGCTGGTTGCCTTCAAGGCCAGAGGTTTAATCCTCTTGATAATTTTAAACGTATCGTAGTGTTAACAGTTCTCTGTACTACATACGGCTTTTCTGTTAATATACGGCCAATCTTCAAGTAGACACTTGTTTATTAATCCAAAGTTAGTTTAGTTAGAATTTAGTTAATATTTTTATATTCTTACGTTCAGACCACAAGTGGTTGGTCTCTGTATTCCGAAGTCCGGAAATCATTGTAAAGAGAAAAAAATAAAGGGTTTCGTATACCCTTCCTGTGTATCTTGTCTACTTCCCACATTTATTGAACATAGCTTTAGTAAGCTCTCTGTTCCGAGTTAGGTCATTTAATGTTCCCAAAGCAAGTAAGGAGGAACATTGAACCTGATAATATTACCAGAAATTCTAACATCGAAAATCACATTTAATTTGCCCTTGAATGTTTTACTGGAATTATTATATTTTAAGGGTGAGATAACCATTATCGGTTTCATCCTTGTTGTTTTGTGATTAGTCTGGCGAGGAGAGCATTAGCCAAAATTTCACTTTCAATCTTTGCATTATTATTATCATTATTTTCCTCGCTATTTAGAGCCACAAATTTATTTGAGGTTTTGATATCTATTGCATTCTCTAAGATTTACCGAGGTCTGGCGATCTTGCGTAAGGAAGCGAATCCGTCCGAACATGTAGTTCTTCCCTGTATGCTTTTCTCGAATTGCGCTTAACATTCACAGAACTAGGGTACCTAAATCAGCACCATTTTTAAACACATTCAGGGAAAAGCACACCTTTAGATATGTTAGATATATATCACATTTATACATATTAATATTTTCTTTAATATTAACATAAGGAATTTAACCTAAGACACAACTATCCTTACAATCAAAATTCAAAACATCACAGTCAACATCAGAAACATTACGCACCCTATACTTTTCATACTAAACTTTTTTAAGTTATTGTATTTGACTTTCCTCTCCTTTATTTTTCCTTTTACGAAGATACAATGAGAAATAGAATCCACTGTAGGATATACATTAAGAAAGCCTGAACACGCATTATGAAGTTTTTCACAAAAGTTCAACGAGTTCTTTAAAAAACCAACCGCGGTGATGATATCGATGTGATCGAATTCTCTTATCCAACAATTCCTTCAGAATTTCGTCCCTATACGTATAGAATCTATGTCTAAATCGCTACCTAAATCTTTTTCTTCACAATCCGAAACTAAATGGCCCATTTGCGTCTAATCATAATTCAGCACGCTGAACTTAATTTCATTTAAAGTAGCGTATGTTTCGCTCAAATATTGCTATTAACGAAATAACATCTCTGCTGTAAAAACTAGCCGTTAGTCATAAGTATTGAAAAAAATCATCGCTATAGAGGAGGAATTATACTCTGCAAATCTGCAGCAATTTTTAAGCACACCTTATTAAGCGAGGGCTTAGTTGGTTAGTTTTAATTAAGGCAAAGCAGCATGCATGGACATCTGCCATAAGAGGGATATTTTCGTGAAAATTGTTTGTGAAAAATTTATTTGCGTGCACGTTACGCATAGAAAAACAGCTGACAAAAAGTTAAACGATAACAATCCCGTTGACATGGATCAACAGTGTGGATGAATGCGACAATGACAAAGTTTCCAAATGGTGAAACAGCTCGCAAAAACGAAATTGTAAAAGTTTCAAAGAGATATTTCACACTGCCAAAGAATTGAGCCGTAGAATGACTGATAATAAAAGAGTTATAACAGGAAAACTAAAAGAAAGAACTAACTGAAAAATGCCAAAATAACATTAACCTTTCCCTCATTTTTTATTGCAAAATACGAATTAAATTTCGCTTGCACAACAGAAATATTTACGATTTTAGTTTGATTCTTTTTATTTTATAAAAATATTTGAAATAAAAAAGGATATAACTGATTGATTATTGAATGAATTACTTTACTTTAAATGTACTTATATATTCAAATAACAATCTTTTGTTCCACATGGAATTTTACAAGGATTAACCATGTTTACGAAGAAGAATGACGAATAAGACGCTGATTTCGTTTCACGTCAAACACGGAGCTAAATTTGTTTAAATTTGTTTTATAACCCAACGGCTTCACGAGCGCCACCTAGCGGACGCTGGAATAAACACCAGCCAATAGCGCAATGAGGAAATGAAAACTAATTTTTCAAGAAAAGAAAAATATAAAAGAGATCGTCGTTCATCTTACTCTGTTAAAAGGACTCTAGTTGCTTCTTCAAAACGTTCCTGCGTATTTTCGAGTCTTAGAGAACGAGCACCAATGGCTAGAAAATGTTGATGAATGGCTGATGGTGCATTTCTTCTGGGATCTACTGTGCGTCCTATTAAAAAATAAAATAAATAAATAAGATTTAACACCTTTTTCGATACCTAATTTATTGCTGCTTAAACAAATTTAAGTACACGTTTACAATTTATGCATTTTTTTACTTGTCTGCGAATCTTTCAATGTATCTATCTATGTTTCATTTTTTATCTTCATTTATTATCTGTGTTTCATTTTTTATTTTTTATTGAGCACCTTCCTAGGATCACTGAAATTATATGTGGTACAAATCAATTATAAAGATCGTACGAAACAAAGCAAATAAACAGGGTGGTCATAAAAAACTTCCCTGGTATACGAAACCTCTAGCAGTCTATCCGCTCAATCAATAGAATTGAAATTTCGATATTCTGAAGTTATACGGACGAGATTGTGATGCATTAGATCGATGGAGTTCCAGTTCTAAAATCTAAAGTTAGAGTTATCTAAAATCTAAAGTTTACACAGGAAATCCACGAGATTATCAGAACTGAGAGATACCATACAACTTGAAATTACATATATTCCTCCTGCGATATTACACTGAAGTGACAAAAGTCATGGGATACCTCCTAACATTTTGTCGGTCCTCCTTTTGCCCGGCGAAGTGCAACAACTCGACGTGGCATCGACTCAACAAGTCATTGGAAGTCCCCTGCAGGAATATTGAGGCATGCTGCCTCTACAGACGTCCATAATTGTGAAAGTGTTGACGGTGCAGGGTTTTGGGCACGAACTGACCTCTCGATGATGTCCCATAAATGTTCGATGGGATTCATGTTACCTAGGTGGCCAGATCGGTCGCTGGAATTGTCCAGAATGTTCTTCTAACCAATCGCGAACAATTGTGGCCCGGTGACATGGCGCATTGTCATCCATAAAAATCCCATCGTTGTTTGAGTACGTGAAGTCCATGAATGGCTGTAAGTGATCTCCATGTAGCTGAAGGTATCCATTTCCAGTCAATGATCGGTCAGTTGCACCAGAGGACCGAGTCCATGCCATGTAAAACCAGCCCAGACCATTATGGAACCACCACCAGCTTGAACAGTGCCTTGTTGACAACTTGGGTCCATGGCTTCGTGGAGTCTGCGCCACACTCGAACCCTACCATCAGTTCTTACCAACTGAAATCGTGACTCATCTGACCAAGCCACGGTTTTCCATTCGTTTAGGGACCAACCGATATGCTCACGAGCCCACGAGAGTCGCTGCAGGCGATGTCGTGCTGTCAGTAAAGGCACTCGAGTCGGTCTTCCGCTGGCATAGCCCAAGGAAGACAAATTTCGCCGCACTGTCCTATCGGACACGTCCCTCGTACGTCCCACATTGATTTCTGCGGTTATTTGACGCAGTGTTGCTTGTTTGTGAACATTGACAACTCTACGCAGACGTCGCTGGTCTCGGTCGTTAAGTGCAGGTGGTCGGCCACTGCGCTGTGCATGGTGGGATGTTATGCCTGAAATTAGATACTCTCGGCACACTCTTAACACTGTGGATCTCAGAATGTTGAATTCCCTAACTATATCCGAAATGGAATGACCCATGCGTCTAGCTCCAACTACCATTCCGCGTTCAAAGTCTGTTAATTCTCGTCGTGCGGCCATAATCACGTCAAAGCCTCTCCACATGAATAACTTGAACACAAATGAAAGCCCTGCCAAAGCACTTGGCATTTATACATTTTCTACGCGATACTACAGCCATCTGTATATTTGCATATTGCTACCCCATGACTTTTGTCACTTCAGTGTATGTTTGTTATTGCTGTCAACAATCTCCCTTACGCAATGAGTTATCGTCTGCAAAGGTAAGGCACGTTGGAAACTTGTAATTCCGATGACAGATTTTTTTACCCTTTCCTCTCTTGTCAGGACCTTTCCTCTCTTGTCATTGGTCTTTCCTCTCTTGTCATTGGTCTTTTTTAATGCTCTTATTTGCAAATTTTTTATGCCGATAAATTTCGTTAGAACGATATATGTGTATTGTTCCAACGCTGTTTATGGTTTTTTCAATGCGTTGATCAATTTGCGCAGGGAAAATGTAGGTGTTGCCCTTCGAAAATTTCGAATATGCTTCACTGTAGCAGTAACCGGGAAATATATATTGTTTTAAATCATCTTAGTCTCGAGCGCTGCTAACAATATCTGAAATTTCATTTTGACTGATTGAGTAGATAGGCTGCTAAGGGCTCATATATATCGAAGAAATTTTTTATGACGACCCTACATAACCGAAAAAGAGCTAAATTTAGCAAACAAGCCCAATGGCAATTATTTAGTATTGTAAGATTTATCTCAATTTTATAACAGTTATTTTTAATTTTCAAACCCTTTCCTTTAAATTCTTGTTTCCCACTTACAAATCCCTACCAGAATGAGTTTTTAGTATTGCGTTGCATGTAAATAAGGTAGAAGGAGTATTTAAGGAATGTTCAGCTTACTTCAGTAGGAGAGCTTAGGAGTCCTTAGTGGCGCGTGTTTGCCGTTAAGATACTTCGTTATTAAGCCAACTACGCTCGGTCATATTGTACGTGCCTGTTGATAATTGCTGACTAATTTAATTAATGGCCAACTACGTTAGGTAATTGTGTCTAGCTTCGGCTAAGTCAGTTTAGTTTAGTATTAGATTAATTTCTTACTTTCTTATCTTGATTTAAAGCCCAAGTGAAGGCTTTCCTTTAAGCCCGAGAAGGGGCCAACTGTCATTATTTCTTTGAGTGAATAAAAGAGTATTTTAAACCTTCTCTGGACTTAGTCGTTACACACGGGAATTCACAGTTTAATAAGTTCCTCTACGTTCATCATAGACGAAGTAGTTAGGAACATTATAGTACAATTACTATATAATATAATTTCATCTAAATTAAAATAATATTCTCCAGATAGTTATTTACTAGTATGCTTCCTTCCTTGCGATAAGGTTGCTATAATTATTTTTGGCATCATTTGCATCAACAACAGTTTGGCGGTTTTTCACAATCCCGATAATGGAACTGTACCTTATATTTTTATATTCTCTAATTAGAATTTGCGAATTGTAAAAAAAATAATATTTTCATACTTCTGTAGGTTAAAGGATGCTGTGATTGACAAAGGTAATTAATTATCCTTTAATTTTGCGAAAACGCTCTTTGAATTCTTCAAGATCAAAACGTTTCTGCTATCCAGCATATGTTAAAATTTTGCAATGGTCTGTCATCTTGAAATCCAGCGTTTGTTGTATTTGTTTAAAATGATTCTCAATCAGCGTTACAAAAATTACATTCCCATGTAATATTTAGTCACTGAGTGCAAAACATGAACAACAAATAATAAAATTGACTTTCACATTAATAGTATTCCAGTACCTATTTATGTTTATATTTATATTTATATTAAATTATTTAAATTTTATTGATGTTTTCAAGGACTTGTTTTTCTTATAGCTTAACGTTATCATTCGATTAATGTTATCAAAACAACTGTGGACAAACGTGATCGCAATTAAACAACGCCTACTGTCATTAATCATTAATTTAAGTTGCCAGTGGGGGAATGTTATAAAAGGATATCTATGGTAAATTGTTCATATGTTTTTATTTTATTATGCATTGATTACAGATAGTTTAGTAGCAAACTGTTGTTTTTCCAACTTTCAATATTTTCTCCTTTTTCTCGATTAGAATGATGCAAAAACTATTATAAAAACTAATAAAAAGTGCCCCAGTAAAAGCATTGGATTTAATACGCCCAGTAAAACACTATTTTTCAGAAAATGGAAAATACTTTTGCATACTTACAATAGGTAAATGTTCCGATTTAAGTACGGTTTATTGACTTATTTGATTAGAATAAAGCACACAATAGCTAATTCCCAAGGGAAGGAATGCCTTTGTGGAGGTCTTTCTAAGGGAACTAGCTCGCATACATGTTACACATGAGGAAAACCACGAAAAGGCACATGAAGCCAGCCCGTTCGCGGGGATTCGAGCTCGGTACCGAACTACCAGGGTTCAGCGAATTTTACCGCTCGGTCGCTAGTGGGCCCCGATTCAAATATGAAAAATAATATTTGATATATGTCCTCCACGACTCTGCAGCACCGCACTCTTTCTGTGAAATTCGTAATAACGTTTTCAGATATTTACCTACTGAGGTGGCTAATGACGTACTGTATTTCCTATTTTAAGTCCTTTCGTTATTAATCGTTTTAGGATTCCTTAGAATGTAAGTTCTGATTTTTTGGGACTTTCAATAGCACTTTGGACCGCCTGGATCGAGAGGGTATAGTAGAACTTGCGTTCACGACACTTGCGCAAAAACGATTCACTGCTGGATAAACTAATAACAATAAAAGCAACCTGTATAATTTAGTGGCAGTTGCGGCCAAAACCATATCTTCTTTATTAATTTTCGGTAACTTAGAATAACGACTTAGATTATTAATTTGCTTCACAAAATTTTAAGCTACTGGACTGCACAAATATGGATTTCAACAAAATGGTTATATTATGTGTGTGTATGTGTGTGTTTGTAGAGACATTAGGTATTTTGAAAGCTGGAGACGCGAAAAATGAGCAATGCCGGGACTCGAACCACGGACCTCTCGAATACGCGTTGAGCTTGCTAACCACTACACCACGAAGGCGGGAGAAACACCTTATATATTAACTTGTAAAGAATGATGAATAACTAAGGAATAAAGTAACTTTAAAATGTCCAATTATCCTCAAAATACTTACAAATATATTCTATAACTTCTTCATTTTACGTTGTTATCCATCCTACATCTTTCAATTTTACTTTTAAGACATCTCCACGTTTTCACTTAAGAATCTCCATTAACCGAAACTGCCGGTACCAAAAGATTGCGAATTGTTTGCTTTTAGATGTTTCAATGAGGGTGAAATTCGTTTTACTTAAATGCTCTAAAAAGAAATTTTTAAAAAGAATTATAATACTCAAGAAACACTCTGAACATCCGTTAGAGCAGGAATGGACACTACTTGAGAAAAATTATATCAATAAATCATAAGGCTGATTGATTGTTTCTGACAAGTTGTGCGGATGTGTCACTTGCTGTATATAATTGGTTACACCTGTTAGAAAACTTCATGTATCCTCAGGGGTGATGTTCGCGAATGCCACTTGTGCGGAACTGCCATGTACGCCAAGTGTACCATCATCGAGAGTATGGTTATGTAATATCTGCAGTCGAACCTCTGTCCTCAAATTTCTTTTGTCAGTCTGCAAGTTATTGTTTCATTAAGCGCATTTTCACATCCGAAAATCGAACGAAGCTTCTTAAACAGTCAATTCCAAATACTCACTATTTTTGTAATGAGTTTTGACAGTCAAAAACTTACTGTTCTTTTGTGTTCTAACGCTCCATGTTAGCTAAGCTGTGAAATGAACTGACAGTGTTGCTAGATCAAATCAAACTCGACATTCTTAAATCGGAACATTTAGCTGCTTTAAGCGGATAAAAATATCTTCATTTTCTAAAAATAATGTATTTTAGGGGTCATATTAAACCGGGCTTTTACTGGGATACCTTAAATACTCCTTTTAAGTGAAAAGGCAGATATCTGAATCCCTGTAATATACTGCTAGGATGTGAACTCTATTTAAACTTCCAAGAATGTAAATCACACTAACTGAAATTTAAAAAGATACTCACTTCTACCCATTATAGTACTTCTCCTGCCACTAATGATTTCTTGAGCTCTGGCAAATGCTTCTTGTACTGAACGTGGAGAAAAGTTTCTGGGCATCACCACTGCAGGGGTTTGCCGTCTTCTCTGACTCAGTGGCACAGGGTTGAATGATTGGCCCTGCACATTCGCTATCAAATAGCATATTTCCGCTAATACGAACCTTGGAGGGAAAAAGAGATAGTATAAAATTTCATATTTAAAAATTAATGTTTTAAATGTTACTAATTACGTTAAATATTTTCATGCAATTTATTATAAACAATTCTTTGAAAATAATCATTTAATTTCCTGTTTTAAAAAATTGTTTGGTACTATAGCATTATCGGGACCAAACGCCACAAGAATAAACGGGCAAAGCGCTATGTCGCCGAAGTAGGCAACCCCGAATTTTGCGAAAATGTGTTTTATCTTACCACCCACAAAACGACAGAGATTTTGAAATTCAAGGGTTGTGTTAGTTTCTGCTTGTGATCAGTATGTACGGGTTTTCTGGTAAAGAATCGTAATATACACCTTGCACAAAATTTGAGTCGTAAAATCGAAATATGGAAAAACATTGGCATGTTATTTCAAAAAAAGGCCAATTTTGTGTCGAAATACCTAAGTTAGAAAAATATATAAATTTAATAATATCCTAACATGGAAAACACAAGTTAAATTTCGACAATCGGTCCAGTAGAACGGGAAATATGAAATTGCCACCACCCGCCTTTTTTTTTTTTTTTTTTTTTTTTTTGCAAGGTGCTTTTTTTTTTTTTCCCCAGAAATATGGGGTTTTGCCTAGTAGTAGTAGAGAGCAGAAATGCACACGCATAAAGTTGTGTTTTACAAATAATCAAACCGCCCGAGTTATCCTGGAGAGCTGATTTGGAGAAAATGTCTGGAAGGAGAGCAAAAAGACTGTTTTGAAGAAATTTTAAAGGTGAACAGTGGCTGTTAAAATGTAAATATTATCCGGACTGATTTTCATTATTATTGTTAAAGTAATAAAATATTGCGTTTGTCTGTTTTTCTTTTATCTCCGATGTTACATTATTAGAAATCTTGCAGCTCAAAAGTAGTTTATGAAGTGTTCTTAGGTGAGTGTGATAATAGTTTAATAGTTTCCTCCGAATAAGTGCAATTTTTTATTTTTTTTAAAGTTAAATCAGGTCGATATGTACATGGAGAGCAGTGCCAGTTTGCAATCGATACCGAAAATTTCTTTTCCTTTAACCCAAAGGGGCTTTGTTCCTGAAGAACTATTGTTTCCGTTTTGCGATTTTGTGTCGATTCACTACCAATGGCGAATCACTTTTCAATATGTTGCCAGAAAGTATTATCGCCCTGTGTTACATTTAAAGAAATTAAATAATGAAAAATCTGCATAAATGTATGTATATTTCTCGCATTGTGATAAAACAACGGTACATAGAGCCATCGAATTTTAAATGACGTAATCCTCCTACGAATATAGACATGTGGAAGACCAAATTTGAAATGTGGAATTTGTTTTTTTCTCGATTTTGTATTTTGTAAAATTTTAACGAATTTTTAATTAACAAACTCAAGGATTTCAAAGCGAGCAATGGCAAAGTTGTACAGAAAAACTATTTTTATCTTCAGCGCGTGCGACTGTGTATCGTAAATTCCAAAGATAGGCTCAATTTAAAATTATTTTGCGATATTGCTCTTGAACTGAATTTTATTGTTCAAGTGCAAAGAACATGATATTTAATAAATAAAAGTAACACACAAAATGTTAAAAAAAAACACCCCTTTGGACGTAATTTTAAATCTGAAACCTTTCACTTTTTTTTTTTCCCTACAGTTTTTTACATGTTAGATTGGCGAAAAATTAGTCGTTAACAATTGGCGAGTTTACGGATCGTTTGGACGGATAATGCGACAGTACCATTTTTTTATTGTACGAAAAGAAGAAGTAAGAAAGAACCTTACATTCTGTATTAATATTAACAAACTTTCAGAATTTATAAACTAAGAAATATTATAATTACTTTACATTCTATTCCAGAATCTCATATAAGTGTTATCAATGTGTTATAAATGATTGCGATAAAAATAGATCCAAATTCCAAAACCTTTTATGTAAAAAATGATTAACCAACACAGACTGAATGAATTGGTTTTCTAAATCTAAACTTAACTTATTCCTGTTAGTTTGCCTTTATACAGGTTTCTATGCATTAATTAACATTAATGCTAATTTAGTCAAATCTAATGCAAATTTAAGAAGTTAAGAGGAAAAATTTCATTTATTCGTTCAAATTTTAAAATATTAGCAGATGTAATACTCGTGAACTACACAATATATAATATTGTTAAGGATTTTGTATTTAGTTTGCTATTTTTAGTAGAATTATAATTAAAATTGTTTTATATCCCCGTGCAGTGCAGCACGAGACTTATTTTAAGAGAAAGCTACGCCAGAAAAGTAAAAATACAGGAGCACGCGCATTTAACATTTAATAAATAGATTCTCGTAATTCTACTCTTTTGTATTCCAGAAATCTGAAGAAAACGGAAATTACCATAAGCTTCTCGTGACATTAAAAAGCTTTAAAAAAAATCCGGAGAGAAACATCTCAGTTCAAGTTGTTTTAATAAGCTGTAGTTGTTTACTAAGTTATGTTATTGATTGTAGCGAATTCGCGGTGAGATCGGATTAACTTTCTCTGCGCTTTGAATTGCGTTCTATTTAACGTATTGGTAGTTTAAAATATAACTAATGTGTGATATTGAGATATTGTACTAATATCTTTGAGGAAAAATCTAGCGTTTTGTTACACATATGATAAGAACAAATTTTATTAACTTTTTATCGGACTTGTGTATTCAATCTATTATGAATCCCTACGCACGCAACAGTATTAAAGTCTGTAGTAAGCTTTAAAATGAAAAGCGTTTCAAATTTTCTTGTTAATGTCTTTTAACAAGATAAGACTACGAGAAATGATTCTTATCGAATAAAAGTTTGTCATAGCTTGTTTAACAATAAATTAACAGCATCTGGGTATTTATTCTCAGATTTTATTTAGTTTTATTTATATAATAAATATTTCTGATACCTTTGTTCAATTCTTCCCTTACCGAATTTTTTTAACAGTTTAAGGTTTCAGAATTATTTATATAAAGCATCTTGTTATTCAAAAAGAATTTCAAACTAAGTTAAAACATTAGAAGTAAAAACCTTCAAATCGAACTGACTTTAAACAATAAAAACTATTATCTAAGCGTGTAAAGGGTACGAAGATTAATTCTTTTTGACAGACGTCCTTGAACAGTTAGGAAATTAGCACATAACTCGCTAACCTTAAATGCCTAAGCTATTAGCTGAAAGTAAGTATTACAATAAATGACTCGATGAATCGCAACTGGAAACTCGTTTTGCATTTAATGACGGTTCAGCAAGGCGTGAAATATTACAATACTTATATGAAAGAGTAGTCTTAAAAAAGAGCATTTGGAAATAAAATATGTGTATTAAACATCTTTTAAAATATACTTCTTATTGAATCAAAATATACTGCATAGTCAGAACTAAGTTAGAAATTTTAAAATATCTAATGTATCTACAATGGGTGGTCGTGATTTCCACGATAGAAGGGATCTTCGTAAACTTTTCAAGGCAATTACTTCTTTTGCTCTTCCATTACTTTATCTATCAAGCTTGTTGGATTTGCGCTTAGAAAGAGTTCTTTTCAAGAGACAAAAGACATAATTATCCATAGGTGAAATGTCAGGAGACTTTGCAGGAATACACTGAAAAGCTATATATGCAACACTTGTGCCAGCATTCTTTTTTTTTTTTTTTTTTTTCTTTTTTTTTTTTTTCGAATGGAGTGGTACTTTTTGAAGTATGACTTGTTTTGTTGTCTTCATGATATTTCGATCTTTGAAAGTCATTGGGATAATTAAATTTCTCCTTCAAATATCCCACATAAAACTTTCTCTTGGTAGCATGTTAAGCTGATTTTTAGCATTTCCCCCGCTATTCTTATTTTTAATTTATCATTGCAAAAGAGTCCTGCAATAATCATACATCCTTTACTGATACTTTCTTTGCATTGGCGGAACCAGTTTTTTCTCTTTGTTTTCAACAGTAAATGTACCTCTCATTATTGCAGTCATTTCAGTAAATTCATGCTTCATTTAAGGGTCACAAGGTGCTTCCACTTATGTCCTGCTTAGTTTTCACGCAGGTTTCAACAAATTGGTCTCTGTTGAGCCTCGGCAAAAAGCTGGAGAACATTATGTTTTTTATCTTTTTTAAGTTATAAGATTGGTTTTTTTTTTTATTATTATTATTATTATTATTAATTATTGCTACAGGATGTATTTAAAGACTTGATTAATTTCTGCGTCGGCGTATTTTCTCTTATTACCAATGATTTAACTTTAGAAACTAGAAACAATATGCACCTTTTTCGGGTACTGGTATCGAGTCGTCTTTCTGTAGTGATTGACGGTTTTTCTCCTTCTGATTAATAATACGTTGCTCGCTTTGCTGTTAGAAATTTTAATACCATGTATTTCAGAACGTTTTTGAATTGTGGAAAAGAACATTTGAAAATACTAAAACATGAATATTTGTATCTTTCAAAACATTCTTGTATTTGAAAATAAATGTCTGCAAACAACGGTTGGAAAAATAAAAGCTGGATAGGAACTTCTGTGGACATGGTAATATTGGGATTACTTGATGAATATAAAACATAATCCCAATGAAACTGGAGACAAGAACTATAGCAATGTTTTTAAGATGCATGATAATTTTTATTCAGGTAAAATTTAACATGTCGTAAAGTATATAATATTCATCATTAATTATCATCCTTCTTAAGATACTTAAGAGAGCCTTTTTACGAAAAACCTCGAGTAAATGTTTTCGTCTTTTGATCAGTGCTTATGTTAGTTATGGATAGCAATGTTTGACTATCAAAATATTTTGCACTGTTTGTGTATTTCTTACACCCTTCCTAAAGCAGCTGTGATAATCTGACATATTAACAGCCGAACATGTATAGCATGTAAAATGAGTAGCAATTATTTTTAAAATGTACTCAAATATATTAACAAATAGTGACTAAATTATTTAATACTAAATTAAATCAAATACACTGCATTAAAAAAAGGTGCAGTAAATTTATTCTATAGAAATTATTATTCAGGTATTAAAAAAATAAGTGATTTAATAATTACATAAAGGTCGAAGAAACGA